GTGGGTTGCTCTCTGTGCTGAGCTCTGGTGCTGCGTGAACCCGGGAAGGTGACCAGGGGCCCGGGCAGAGGTGGGCAGAATGGAGGCAGCAGAGGTTGCCAGCCCAGCAGACCCTCCTAGGGCAACAGGTGGTATCAGACAAGGGCCTGCAGCTTGCAAGGGGCCCTGGGATGTGGCTTGAAAGGATGCTCTGGAACCCACAGTGGAACAGTCATCTATGCCACTGATATTTTGGTTTTGATTTTATTTTAATTGAGACACTGGGACTGATACATCCCACCTGTTCTTGTTTTCCAGAGTTTGGAGCATGTGAGGAGCTGCCAAAGGAATCACTAATATTTTCATTTTTGCTTCTTCAGGTATGAAGATGTTATTGTGACTCTATGTTCTCTGTGTTCCTTGAGTTGGTGATAATTTAGGAATTTATCAGTGACACTAGTGTACAGTGAGTGATTACAAAGGCATGTAGTGGTAGGACAAGGGGTAATGGTTTTAAACTAGAAGAAGGTAGATTTAGATTATAGTTTAGGAAGAAATTCTTCACTGTGAGGGCGGTGAGACACTGGCACAGATTGCTCAGGGAAGCTGTGGATGCCCCATCCCTGGAAGTGTTCAAGGCCAAGTAGGATGGGGCTTGGGGTAGCCTGGTCCAGTGGGAGGTGTCCTTGCCCATGGAGGGGGGTTGGAACTAGATAATCTTTAAGGTCCTTTCCAACCCAAACCATTCTATGATTCTATGAATACACAGTTCTTTTTATGGATTGATGTCATGACCTACCTACATGTATAGGCTGTTAATGTGCACAAGTCTGAGTGCTTCTGGCTTGATACAACCACTGGCGGTGGTTTGTGATGGAGTCGTAGTGCAACAGGTCTGGCTCACAGTTGCTTCCTCTGTGTTTCTCTTCAGCCATTGGGCTTTGCCATATTACTGTGTTTTCCCATGACCCAGTCATTTTGTTGTTGGGGTTTTTTTTTGATGGTGTTTTGGGTTTTTTTGAGGAGGAGGCTTGTCTTGCAGGTGCTATGACTGTCGCATGACACATGTAGTGGTGAGTCCTCCACTGACTATCCAGGTGGGCCCCTCCCTTTAGTGTTCAAGGCCAGACTGGGCTTTGAGCAACCTGTTCTAGTGGGAGGTGTCCTTGCCCATGGAGGGGGGTTGGAACTAGATAATCTTTAAGGTCCTTTCCAACCCAAACCATTCTATGATTCTATGAATACACAGTTCTTTTTATGGATTGATGTCATGACCTACCTACATGTATAGGCTGTTAATGTGCACAAGTCTGAGTGCTTCTGGCTTGATACAACCACTGGCAGTGGTTTGTGATGGAGTCGTAGTGCAACAGGTCTGGCTCACAGTTGCTTCCTCTGTGTTTCTCTTCAGCCATTGGGCTTTGCCATATTACTGTGTTTTCCCATGACCCAGTCATTTTGTTGTTGGGGGTTTTTTTGATGGTGTTTTGGGTTTTTTTGAGGAGGAGGCTTGTCTTGCAGGTGCTATGACTGTTGCATGACACATGTAGTGGTGAGTCCTCCACTGACTATCCAGGTGGGAAGCGTGCCTTTTGCTTCCTGAAATAATGTGCATTAAAGAAGACAGCAACAAGAGACATGGAATGAAACTCCTTTTCTAGTTCAGGACTTACCTGGCCATCACTCCATTTCAAATGCAGTCATATAACCTTAGTAGCTTGCTGCTTTCTGAGACTGATGACTTTTTATAGTGTTTCACAAAGTGGATAAATTGGAGATGCTCAGAAATCCCCAGTAGACAAAAGGAATATCTCGAGTCCCGTTTTGTTGAGAAGATTGAGTTATTGGCAGGCTGAGTGAGTACCCAGATGCCTATGTGGATATTTTCTGGTGCATGCAGGCTAGTCAATACTCTGCTGCTGCATAAGCAAACAATGGTGTGAGTGGCTGGGCTGTGATGTGGTTGCTGTGGTGGTTTGAAGCTGTAATTCAGTGGCTGAGAGTCCTGGATTCAATTCTGTGCTCCACCACAGACTTCCCATCTGACTGGGACCCAACTCCTTTGTCTGGGGTGGTCTATGTTGCAAAACACAGCATTGGGCAGAGATCCTGGGGCTGGTATCAGCTGAAGTCTAGCTCTGGGACTTGGTGCAGCCCTCCCTGAAAGCTCTTCAGTTCTGCTGAGGACATGAGCCTTTAGGCCTGTGTTGGTGACTCCTTCCACCTGCTCTGGACCCAGAAGACCTCACAGCTTTTGAAGATAACGGAGGATTACTAGCACAGCACTGCAGTGTGCAGTAGTTTGATCTTCACAGAGGAAGTGTGAGTGTAAATAGGCTAGTAATTGTGAGGTGCAATCATGGTAAAGAAGGCCACCAACAGGTGTGAGAAAGATATAATTTTATCCCCACCTGCATGGGAGTCTACAAGTACATGATGGTTAGTTTACGGAGCATCTGTTGCAGTCTCTGGCAGGGCTTCAGGCAGAGCCTAGTGCTCCTGTTTCTTTCTCACATGGCTCAACACGAGACCTCCTTGTTGAAAGTGAAGGTAATTGTGACCTTCTGTGGGGCCCAGTCTCCATTTCCAGTAGCTCTGTGTTTGTAAAGGGAGCTTGCATTTTCCTGAGGAACGAACAATGCCTGACTGTGGATGTGTTCTGAACTCGTATCTGTGCCTTATCTGCCTCTGAAAAGGCAAACATCAGCTGTTTAGTTGCCTGCATGCTTTTAAGATACCACAACCTTGAAAGTACAGTGCCTGAGCTTTTTGCTTTTGAATTTATGACCTCAGTGCTAGCAAACTGTTTTTTTCAAATGTGAAGTCAGTCCTGCCTTTTTCTCTCATTTTCCCACTTTGTTCTCACTGCCCCATGCCCGACTCAACCAATTTTTTTCAGTCCTGGAGTTTCAGCTGTATTTAATAAGGTTTGGATCAAAATGGAGACTGAAAGAGTCAAGAGGTGAAATGGGGAGAAGTGCTTGACCACCAGAGGCTGGTGGCGTAGGATGTGGGAATGCCATATGGAGAGAGTAGTGCCTTCCCCATTCAGTTCCAACTGCAGAAGACACTGTGAGGAAAGATTATCAAAGGTGTCAACTCTCAGAGGAAACATTTTGAATCAAAACACCACTCTTTAGAACAAAGGGAGAATTTTTTTACTTCCTGTCCTTTGTGGCTTCAGTGCAGCTACTCCTGGTGGATACACAATTGAGGCAGATTCAGGCTCGTGTCTCAGCAAAGTGGAATTACTACCAAAGTGTTGTGCTGAATGCTTAAATAATCAACTTGTAACCACGAGCATTTGCAGGAGTGTGCACTGTGTTACACATCATATGCTGCTTCTTGCTGGTGGGACAGTACCCTGCAATCATACCCCACAGATGGGCTTGCATAATGTTTGCTGAGATTAAAACTTTTTCTGTATGTAAAAAACCACTAAAATCCCATTTTCAGCATCATACACTAGATGTAGCCTGTCAGTGAATGGCTGCAATTCTTCTCTTTTTATAATGTTGCAAAATTGATTATGACTGAAGCACAAAATTCACAGCAATTTAGGAGATGTGTGAAGACTGTCTGATGAAGCCCCCACCCAAATCAGCATTTTGAGATGAGGACATCCCAGTTGGGCAGTGCAGTCTCTGCAGGTTAGGCCAGGCTTGTGTAACTTGAGTTTCACTGAGAAACATGTAGCCATCTGAATTGTGCACTGAGAGCCAGATTCTGCTGTGATGTGGGATTTTTGCTGTGAGTATCTGGCAGGAGACTTCAAATCTTAATGGTTGCTGAAATTCTAGAGGAAGCATTAGAAGTTAAAATGCCACCTTTTTGGAGGTGAACTGCAACCAACTCATTAGTTGACAGCTGCCCTGACATTTTATCAACAGGAGAAGGGAGCTGCACAACTCAGGATCAGCACAGTAAACACTGAATGACAAATGAGTTGGCCACACCACTGCTTTGCTGTACTTCGATCTTGCTAACAGAGATCTCCAGTTGTGTCTCTCTGTGGGGCCATTTCCAGGGTGGTCTCTGCAGGGTGAGGATTTTGCAGCTAGGGAAGAGGACACCCTAGCTGGAGAAACAAGGGCATCTGTGCAGAAGCTGGCTGAGCAGCTCAGGAGATGCAGGGACATTTACTTGACTCCCTGTTTCTGAAGAAAGGTCAGCAGCTACTGTGGTGGTGTGGTGGTGATTTATTCAGCCCAGCTGCTTGTGAAGGTTTGGACTAAACTGTAGGGCTTCCTCCTGCTTTTTGACAGTGACTCTGTTGTTACACATACAGGAAATACCTCGAGGGGGTCAGGCAGCAAAATGTGCTTACTTTGAAATCCAGCAACTGAAACAATGTCAGTGCTGGTGGAGCAGCAAGCGGAGTCTGGAGGGCAGTGTTGTGGCTGTGTGCTGCAGCCTTCAGCATCCCCTCGGGCATTCCTCAGCACTGAGGTTCAGCTCTGAAACATATATTGACCACTCAAGGAATCCAGTCAGTGGCTTCTGTGTTATGGGCTGTATAGAGAATTTAATTTATCGGTAAAGCAGAGAATTGGTAAAAGATACTAGATACTAGGATTCATCAGGCATTTGGGCTCTGAATGGAGCAGGTGGGCTTCAAACCCACAAGACGTCTCTTCTAGGTGTGCTTCTGTCTGCTACATCTCAGACATCAGTGAGGTGGTGTGATGTGAGTGTGTCAAGCTTTTGAAAGCAGCCAGCATTGTGCTGTCAGTTGAGCAGCTGCTGGGGTGTGCAGCCTGTGGTGGAAGTGCAGCCTTCACTCTGTGCAAGCGTGGCACCTGCCTGAGGCTTGTCAAATCCCTGTTCTTCAGCAGCACAGACGTTGTTCCTGTCACTCAGCTCCAGAAAGGCCCATGTAGGTCATTCCTGAACCATGTGGCACCAATATTGCTGCCAGGCTCTGTGCAGCAGATGAGCTTTTCAGAGAGCTGCAGGGTGGATGTGCCGAGTAGAAAGAGATTGGCTAATTCTTTTTTAATTTCCATTTTTTCAAGATGCTTCTGCCCAGGTCTGTGCCTTTGGAAGTGTGACGCTTGTTGGTGCTGGGAGCAGCTTGCTTTGGGACAGCCAGTGTAACCACGCAACCAAGATGGTGGCATTTAACTGGAAGGTGAGCGTGTTTCACATTCTTAAGGCAGGAAATTTCTGCTCTTTGAAGCAGAATTTCAAGCTCTTTCAAACGTGCAAGGTATCGTTGGGTGGGTCCTGTGTTTAAAGATGGCTTCCTTGCCTAGGTGAACCACTACTCTTTCTGCACCTCAGGGACAGAGGACTCGTTGTTGTTGTCTTTTCTTGCCATACATGCTTGCACTTGGTGAGCAATCATTGCTGTTGGGGCCTCACACTTTAGACCTGGGCACAGGTCTGCTCACCTCTGCTTCTTCTGGCTTTCCTCTTTCAAGGCTTTTCTCTGTCTGCTCTTTCCTCAGCTCCTTTTGCTACTGGAGGTTGTTTTCTCCACTATGTCTTCTAGTGTATGGGGGCCATAAACATTCTGCAGGACACATGTGTAGGGCACAGAAATGTTTGAGCAAGCACCTCATGCATTAACACTTTTAACATGTTTAATCAAACCACTTATCTAGAAAGCAATGATAACCCCAAGTCTTTGCTTTACTTTTCTGGTATTGCAGAACTGTGGTTTAAAGAGATTGCCACTTATAGTATGTGGGGAGATTGACAGAGGATGATGGTTTTTGGCAAAATTAAAGGGAAGTGGCCTGATGTCAAAGGTGCAGAGGTCAACATTATAAAAGCCCTTACTAGAGCCTCTCTTGGATTTGTAGATTTTAAGGGGTCACACTAGGGGTGTATTGATACAAGACTTTTTCTGTATTCAGTAGTTTGACAATGGTCAAACAGCTTTATGGGATGCTAAGGGTACAGGGGGTACTTGGAGGCTTGCTAAGGGTGAGCTGGCACTGTGAACCTAGAGTGTACCACTGAACTGATCCTGCTGCTCAGAAGGCTCTTTGAAACAGTACCATCGGGTACCTTCAATATCCTTCTGCAATTCACATCTTTCACTGAGTGCCTGTGCTGCTCTTGTAGTTGTATTCTGAGTTCACAGTACTGAGTTTACCCATTTGCAGTTTATTTTCTACTCTGTGTACACTTACAGTAGGATGCTTTTATAACATCGAAATATGTTGTGCAATTTCAGTGATTCCAGGCATTAAAAACTCCTGAAACTGGATCATTGGAGGCTGTGGGGTTTTTTTTTTACTTTTCTTCCAGTTTAAAGGCCTTTATCTATACCTTCTAGATGAAGACAAGTTAATTGCAGAACTACCATGGATTAAAATTTCTAGTAGCACAAAAGTGTCTTTAGGGATCACATCTATAAGCTGATATGCATGGTTCATCTCTTATGCGAGAATTCTTCAGAAGCTTTTCCACTTTTATAATTAAGCTAAGATACTCAGTTCTTCCCCCTTTTCAGCTCTAGATTGTGCCAGTATTCCATTTGCTGTAAAGCAAGCAAAAGACCTATTAAAATGGGCTTTGTATTCAAACTTCACTGAACTTGGCTTTGTCCTTTCCTGTAGACGCTGATCTGCCTAGTCTAAAATTTCCTACAGATAGAAAAACATGAACAGAGGAGCATTAGTATTGCTTTGAATAATGCTGTTGCTGTAGGAAGCTGTACATTCATTTTTAATTGTCCAAGTGTTCCAGTAACTGCTTAAATACATTGGTTTTGCATTTCAGGCTTTGGAGAATTTCCCATTGCTGATGTACATTTTGGCAGCTAAGACATTGATTCTTTGCTTAGCATTTGCTGGAGTAAAAATGTACCAGAGCAAAAAAATTGAAGAAAAACTGAAGAGGGAACGTGAAGAGAAATTTAAAACAGAAGTAGAAAAGAAGGATGATTGAAGAGTCTCTCAGGTATAGAATTCATGTGACATCCCATTGTTCAGTAATGGCACTGACATATTAATTCCATTATGTTTTGGCTTGGATACATTGGGATTGTGCAATTAGAACTATCACCATTATCTGAGTTCTTGTAATATTTGTCTCCTGCCATGCATCAGCGTATTTGCACACCCATATCATGCCCATTCTTTGTAAGAACTGCAGTTGTCACCAGAAAACTTGCCAGCCATGTTTCATTATTTAGATCTTAGGATAGTATTCCTACTCTGCACTTAATCTCCCTGAATTTTTATGCCCAGCCAATTGCACAGGAAATCCTGATATATAAAGAGATGGTTAAATTGGCAAAAAATGCACAAGGGGCACAACAGACAGTATGATCCAGTCAGACCCCTTGGACTTAAATTACAAAGTTCAGATAGAAAAGAATCAGTCATTCCATGTTAGCTAAATACGACAAGTTCTAGGTAGTTTAGCTGTAAGTGCTAAATCTCATGCCATGGAGCTTCCCAAGGCAGCAGAAATTATACAGATGCTGTGTAACATCCACTGTATATACTTCACTGGGAAAAATGGACATCTTTCTGCATAAAGAGCAAAATTAACAATAGAAAATTTCTTAAAGTTTTGGGTTTTCATTCCCTGTGTGCTGAATTCCTTCCCACTATTCTCAGAGTTTAAGCAATCATCGCCTTATTGGATCAAGGCCATAAACAAAGTGAGTGCTGACTAATGCTAATTATATTCCCTGACTTGTTTGGTATGTGGTTTTTGTATCGGTTCATTTCACATCTATCTGTTCTGCAGCAAAATGGGAATGCTATTCCTGCTTGCCCTTTGTAAGGTTGGTGGGAGTTTGATGTAATGTTACTCTTTAATAAACTTACTTTCCTCTTTTGAGGTCATCACCTCACATATAAAGAAAGCTTTGGTTTTTAGAAATGTTAACTAATTTTGATTTCAAACCTTATCACTGTTTTATTTTGTGGAACAGAGTTTGGAAATTCTGACTAGAAAATGGGGTCCTGGAAATAACCATGAGGATGAAGTGGTTCATTCATGTAGGAAAAACAACACTAAAGTGTTTTGCAGCCTTCTGTTTACATCAGATTAAAGACCTGTCTCTAGGCAGACTTGTTCCAATTTAAACTCTTGTTTTGAATTGGTTTAGCTGGCCACTGGAAAATGCTGTGAGAACTCTTTCCACATTTGCAGAATAAGTCAGAGTAAATGATACGGAGTTTTGTTGCTAAACAAATGAGAGAAGTGCTGCCCTGCAAGGGAGCAAGCCTGCTACTTGTAATGAGCAGACCCAATCCATGCTGTGTGGGCAGTGATGGGTCCCAAGGAGTTCTGCCTTGCCAGAGTCCTTAGCCCAAGGGATTGCTGTGCCAGGGTAATGAGCTTTTCCCACAAGGCCTCTGCATCCAGCATGTGATGTTGACCTTGTTGAATGATTGAATGATGTGGAATGATTGGCATTAAAAGCATTTCTGATTTTGCAGAAAATATCCTAGTTGCCAGTTGCCCAGAGGCCCAGTCCTTCCTAAATTCTGCCATCCTTTGGACTGTCTTCCTGTAATGGGATTGTGAGACAGGGCGAATTCTCCTACCCTGAAAATGGTTCTCCTGTGTCAGCACCACAGTGATTAGCTCCGATTGCAGTGTGCCACATGGGCAGGCAGATTTAGCCCATGCTGCCAGCATATAATGCCTGCTGTTCTCACTGCTGTTTCCCCACCCTGCAGATTTTCTGACACTTGGCAGCTTGCATTGGATTCCTTCCTGGGAGAGTGAAGCCTTCCTGTAGACGAAGAACAAGTCAAAGGAATAAAACTCAAGAATAACATCTGCTTAAACTGTATCTCAACTTTTTATACATACAGCATAATATCTAAGCCTCTATTTATGCAATAAAAAAATCCTTTGTAAAAAAAACCAAACACAAAAACCAAAACCAAACGTTAATGGCCTTGGTTGCTGCTTACTCAAATGCTACAGTTAGAACTGCAGGGGAGGCAGTTTTTAAAGATTAGCTGCTAGGAGGTGACTGGTTTTAAAGAGAAAAACGCTCTGGATCCTTCATGAGTGTGTACAGGGTACATGGACAGACAGAAGCGAATGTGAGAGAGCTCTGTGCCACTTGTTCAGAGCAGCTGCTTCCTGCAGACTTGTGGGCTCTAATGAATCCAGATGAACAAACATAGGAGAGGAGCTTTTTCTAGCAGGTCTTTCTCAAGCCACTTTTCATACCCAGGACTTCCTTAGAGTAATGGAAATTGCTGTGTCAGTATGAAAACCTTTGAGGAAGTTTCATGCTGGAGGGTTTCTTACATTATTGTGCTCTGCACAGTATCTGAGGGCTGTGTATGGTTCTGTTATTTACTACTCAGCCTGTGAAGTGGGGAGGGGGTGTTTAATTACCATTACTAGCTGTTCCTGAATGTGCAATAACACCAAATACTGGAGGATAAGCTAACTCAGTCATGATAGGTTAATCAAAGGAGCAGATTTTTTTTTACAGAAACAAAGGCTTAGGCATGTGTAGTAGTGCCAACAGGTATATTTGCCTTCACATTTCCATTATAAAGCACTTCCTAGATCTTTGTATCTTCCCTAAGTTAAGGTGAAGCTGAAACGTGACAGTGGAGAAAGGAGAAGGAGGAAGGGAGGAGGAGGGCCCTCGGGTGGAAAAGCCTAGGAGCCCAGCAGGATGTGGAAGACCTCAGGGATGGCTTGCTCCTGCCCTCTCCCTGCGGCTGCGGGCTGAAGTGCCTGTGCTGTGTTCACACCAGCACTGGGCGCTGCAGTGTCCCACTTTCAGGCCTTATCTGACCAACTTTGTGTGCAGCTGATATGGCTGATGCTCAGAGAGCTCTCGGTGTGGTCGAATTACCAGTGATTTTTTAAATTTCACTGTTCATGCTGTCACCTTGGTGACTGGAGAATGTGTCTTGCAGAAACCCATTCCTGGGATAGAGTGATGTCCTGACTACGAGAACATCAGAACTGCCAGCCTCAGGAATTGGCGGAGCCATTGTAAGCAAGCAATTTCCCTCTATGGTCTCAGCAGTCATTTGCCTGTGCAAAGGTGAAATCGAATGGTGATGTAATTAAACGAAGCTGTGGTGTTCAGTGAGAACAGACGTTGTTAAGCACCTCCATTAAACAACTATTGAGGCAACACACCAAGGTACTTAGCTAAGCCACACACCCAAACCTTGAAAGGAAATTGTCAGGCCTGAGAAGTGTCCACCAGCTTCAAAGGCAATCAGTGTCTTGCCTCCATGTGGTTACTGGTTGCCTTTGAATATTGGCCCCTATCTAGACTTTTTTAGACTCTTGACCAATTGTAGTTTTTTCTAAACCAATAGTAATAGTGAGGGGCTTTTTTTTTTGTTTGTTTTAAAACTTAGCCGAGATTCCCCAACACAATTGCTCTGCAAGTGGAATCAAAGGTACACAATCTCCCTTTAAAGCAAGTAATTTAACATCAAAGCAATAGGGCATCAATTGGGCCCCATTTAGCACCCAAAGCAATCAAGACTGGTATTAAAATCTTGGGGGCCCTACTTTGCCAAACATGTGCTAGAAGGGAAGTAACACAGGGAGCCTCTTTTTTTGTCCCTGGCTTCAACAAGGGAGAAAGCAGCTGTGAGGAGTGTTCTCAGAAGTTCACCTCGTTACCACATGTGCCTCTACAGCCAAATCAGAAAGACTTTGAATCTGGTCCAACCTGGCTGTTTTTCTCCTTAACTTTGGAGTAGCACTACAGCATAGATAACCCCTAGTGCTTCTGGTGAGTGTAGCAGCAGGTTGATACCCTACAGTTTCCAAAATAAGAAGAGATCTTACCCATATTCCCAAACTTGAACCATTATCTGTTCTCTGACATACCAAGGTAGAGTTTTGATCTGTGCTATCACTGGCTAGGTTACAGCAGTTTTTTCTACCCTTGGGCACCCTATGTGCGGAAGTTGCAGCCTCCAACAAGAAAATATGCTGACACTGGGGGGAGACAGCAGCTCAGAATTGTTTCCTTTTCTTGTTCAGAAACCAGATGGGGATGTGAAGTGTAGGTTCGTACTCAGAGAAGTATTATGCGATCAGTCCTGGTAAGTTTGAAAGAGGGATAGGGAATTCAATTCAATTGTGTTTCTGCAAGTGAGAGGAGGCAGGAAGGATGGAGAGCCTTGAAATGCTGAGTGCGTAAAGGTGTGCAGCTTGTTAGACAGCAGGGCATCTACACTGGATCCTTTTTGTAGATGTTCCCATCTCAGAAAGCGAGCCAGGTCACACTCTTCTGGTGCCTACGGAACTACAGTCTCTCCTCCTCCCCTGTTCTGTGAAATTACTCTTCAGCATTCATGTCATAGAGATGGGCAGCTTAACCTTACACAGTACCTCCCTGGCACAGGTTGTACTGTTGGATGTTGTTATTTGTCATCAGGGCCAAGTGTTGAAGACTAAGAAAATAAAAGGATTGCTGTTTTTTAAATTTCTAGTGTTTGCAACCTTAAGCTTGCTTTTACTAACACAAAGGCCATGTGTTCTTAAACAAAAGCTGAAATATTTTGTAGTAATAAAGAAAGGAATTGTTGGGATTTTAAGGGGGAAAAAAACCCAGCTCTCCCAGATTGTTAAATTACTGAAGTGGCTGCTGGAATAGGCCTTTTCTAACCTAAAGAAGCTTAGTGGCTGTGGGGTATCTGTGTTCCTTAAAGCGAAAAATTAGTGAAACATCATTCAGTGGGACTGTTTTTATAGTCATGGAACCATATAATGGTTTGAGTTGGAAGGGACCTTAAAGAGAATCTAGACCTCCCACTGGATCAGGTTGCTCAAGACCCCATCCAACCTGGCCTTGAACAATTCTAGGGAGGGGACATCCACAACTTCCCTGGGCAACCTGTGCCAGCGTCTCACCAACTTTCTCATTATCCATTTTAGACTTTGGCTGAAATGACCTCAGCTTGATTTTAGTACCACTGAATGCTTTCAGTCTGAAGGCCACAAGGTTTTTACCAGAGATGGAGCAGCACTGGTGCTGGAGGAAGGCAGAGCTCCCTGAGCAGTGCCCCAGGGCAGGAGTGATTGCTCTTGAGTGATTGTGCTTCAAGTCAGGTATATTTTTCAGCTCTTCAAAGAGCCTCCATACAAACAACTATTTCTAACATTCCCTTCCTCTGTTTTCCTCTTGGTGATTATCAATTCCAGGTCTTTTGTCTTGCTCTTCTCAGTAAAGGCACTGCAAATATTCTGTCTGGAGCAGAGTCCTTCATGGTTCTCCTTGATCCCAGCTCTAACCTGTGACACTCAGCATCTCTGCCTACCTGCTGACTGTCAACACCCTGGCCTCAATTCTGTCCAATACAGAGCACTGTGGCAAACTTTCGTAGTCCTCTTTCCAGCTAAATCATGGGAGAAACCAGTAGACTAAGCTGAAACAAATCTCCCTTGTTTCAGCCTTCACCAGTTCTTCACAGTCTTTCAAAATTGCTTTCAAAGATGCATCAGCTTGCTGTGTCATCTCCCTGTTGACTGGAGCCCACAAGAAGGACATGGACCTGTTTGAGCAAGTCCAGCAGAAGGCCACAAAGGCCTGGAGCACCTCTCCTACAAAGACAGGCTTGAGAGAGTTGGGGTTGTTCAGCCTGGAGAAGGCTTCAGAGAGACCTGTAGCCTTCCAGTACCTGAAGGGGCTACAAGAAAGCTTGGGAGGACTTGTTACAAGGGCTTGTAGTGATAGGACAAGGGTAAATGGTTTTAAACTGGAAGAGGGTAGATTTAGGTTAGACTTTAGGAAGAATTTTTTTATTTGGGATGGGGCTTTGAGCAACCTGGTCTAGTGGGAGGTATCCCTGCCATGGAGGGGGCTAGAATAAGGTGATCTTTACAGACCCTTCCAACCCAAACCATTCTGTGATTCTATGATTCTATGATTCTATGAGTCTGTGATTCTGTGATTCTGTGTTCAAGACCAATGTCCTGATTAGAAGCTGCCAGCTGTACAGCTGCAGCCTCCCCAGCCTGGTGGGACCATTGCTTTCCAAAATGCCTTTTGACCAGCCACCTGGAAGCCCCTGCTGACGCTGAAGCTGTTGGGTGTGACACCACAGGGTAACGCCAAGCAACGAGTGCACTGTGAGCTCTGTCAGCCTCCTTCAGGAGCCTCCAGATGCCAGCATGCAGCGCTTCACTAATCCACTTTTCAAGCACGTAATTCACAGGGACTACTTTGATGCTGCTTCAAAGAGGCAGTGCCTGCAGTACTTGAGAGCTCTGAGGACACTGCAGCTTAACGGTTTCAACACCATTTTTCTAGGAGAAACAGATATTCCAGAAACTCTCATAACAGGAGAAAAAAAAGCCAAATTGGCCAGCCTGCGCTGGCCAATATGGACACTTGTTCATGCTGGCAGCAGCCAAGGGTGGGTGCCCTGGAGGTATAAACTGCTATTAAGAGGTGATCTGCCCACCCATCAGCAGAACAGTATCTTTCAGGAGTTGTGTGATTCTCTGACCGTCTCCTATGGGAACTGTGTAATTGTGACAAGGGATAAAACGCAGCTGATGCATGTGGGGGCAACTGATGGCCAGGAGCTGGAGAAGGGAACTCTGCCACCAGTGCCAACAGCAATCTACGTGTCCAGCATTAAGTGTTGTCCTGAAGTTGCCAGAGCAAATGGCCATGAGATTCTTGTTGTGCCTTCGTCTTACAACTATCTCTATCCTATGGATTTCGCTTGGTCTTCTTTGAAATGGTTTATTATAAACAACAGGAAGGACTTTGCCCTGAGGTCTTTTGACAGCACCCACTCCTACAGGTGTATCCTCTTCAGTGACTTGATTTTTAAAGGAATAGAGAATATGACCCCAAACAAATGGAGGGTAGCATTTAACAGAGTGAAGAGATGGGAGAACTACTACCTTGACG